GTGAATAATAAAAAAACAAAAAACAATTAAAACTCAACCCAAATATTTGAGCCATCTTTTTAGATGATGTTAGATTACATTTTAAGTCAAATCAAAATGTTTTTCTTTTTTATCTAATTCACAATTAACTTTGAAGCACCTTTGGACAATATTTAACTCTTTGTACAAGGTTTAGTAATTGTAGGTCTAACCCACACAACACGTAAAGCTACTCCATGCACCACTGTATGTTCCTGTGCAGCCAGACACACAGTGAGAATTGCGGCAAACCAAACATCCGAGTGAAAAGACCCCAGACTGTGGTTGACCTCTGACATACGTTACATGCTTTGTGGCCCGTCAGCTTTGTCCTCCTTGTCCATGGCATTTACCCAAACAAAGCTTCACGGATGAATTCCTTGTGATTAAATGTTGACTCTCGGTCTCCACTGCTGACACTTTACCTCAGGTCTCCTCCTGACAGCAGGAGACGCTGAATAAACATGCTGTTTTCCATTAGAGGAGGTGCAATAAACGTTCATACTGTGGCTCCAGGGCAGGAACCTTTAGCTCCTCTTCCGTTAGAGCGTTTTCATTTTTCTTCATTTCTAACATTTACGAATGAATTGGTTGTCAATTGCTACTCCCTGGATATTTGTACTAACTTAAACCCTCTTTTTGTTTATTTGTTTCATTATTTGTCATTTGATTTTATTGAATTCTTTTGTTAGAAGCTAATGGTCGATATTTTTGCACCTACATTTGTTGTAAACCTTTTAAGCATTCTAGGCTGACATGTTCACACTTGATTATGATTATTATAAGCCCTTTAGCCTAAACTATTTTAGCCATTGTTTTTTTGTCACGCTACTACAGTATAGACACAGTTGTTTTGATGTTAGCACTATATCATCACGCTACTACAGTTGTTTTGATGTTAGCACTATATCTGTGGATAAAATTGGGCTATTTGCGGTACCTTTTTTAACTTTAAGATACACACATGTTGTCTTTTTGGTAAAGCGAAACTTCTGACTACTTCTGGGCTAGTTTTTGATAAAATGTTAACTCTGTCCACTGCTGACAGTTTGTTGCTAACAGCACGATGGTTAATAACATATTTGTTGGGCTCTATAGCACAGCAGCCAAACGCGTTGTTGAGGCTCCAGGACAGAGGGAGTGTAATCACTGTGGCCCCTGACGTGGCATCTATCAGCAGACTGATGGATTCCATTAATAAAAGACCTTTTCTGTTCACTTTGTTTTCCTTCAGCGTTACCAGTGTAATATTGACCTAATCACGGGTTACTCCCTGCAGCACAGGCTCGAAACCTGAAATACAGACGTTGTTTATCAAATAATGAGATGTTGACATTTACAGACAAATTGAACAAAGAGATTTGACAATATTCCTCAATGACTTTGTTGGGTTGGCAGAAGAGAAATTCTGCTGCTCGTGTTCTACACCAACTCTGAAGGCTGGAGTGTAATATACAAAATGAAAAAAAGTTAAAACCCAGGCCAAATACTAGCAGCTGCTCGGGGCTAAAAAAACTAGAAATATATGAAATTTCCTTTTAAACTTTCGTGACATTGGATTTTGATGCTTCCTGTGAAATATAAAAACAGTTTTCGGTAAACTCGAGTGTAAAAAAGTCCAGCGGAGCTTCAATAAAACACACAACACCCATGTATTCTGGGTGAAGGACGTGTTATATTCAAGTGTTGCGGAGTAAAATATTTACAAGTGTTTGTGAAACAAAGCCAAAGGAAACATTCAAAGTCAGTTTAAATGGTAATTAGCTAAACCTAAACCAAAAAATAGCTGAAAGTTGGCAAAGTCTGATGGAAGCTTGTCAATAATGGCACAAAATGGTCAGAGGCTAAAAGTAAGGGAGGGAAATAATTTTTAAAGATAACTTCTTATGCCAAATGTCCTTAAAGTTGTGTTCCATCAGACCTAAAATACTTTTGAATCATAACTTAATTATACTCAACATTTCGAAACTATTTCAATTCAGAAGATATGTATTTTAAAAATGTCGTGACCGTCATCTTGTTTCTTCGACTTTTGTCGAAGAAACGATAACCTTGTATCTTTTAAGTGACATAGCTGCCACCTATGGGGTTGAATGAGAAACAATAATAAAAGTTTGAGAGCTCCGACATAAACAATAATAAAAGTTTGAGAGCTCCGCCCCTTCCTCTCTCCGAGCGAGACTAGTCATTGAGGTCAGTCCCGCCTCTCTGTAACCTTTGAACCTAGTCACCCCTGCTCTACGTCACACAACAACAACAATGGCGGCCGTCTGTCTACCTGTAACTGCGCCAGAGAGGCCTATTCCGCGGGATTCTGACAAACGGGAAAACATTGCTTCACTTCCGGAGATTTCGTAGTCGTAAAGCAGCTCAGGTGATTACTTTTAGATAGTTTTATTGCTATTTAATGGTTTACAGGCATCGGCAGGTACCTGTTTTTAAAGGCTATTATTTCTGGGATGATTTGATTTGTGCGGACATTATGCTCAGAAGAGAAAAGTTGGCAAAGTTTGTTTTGAGACACTGTGTTCAGTTTGTTATTATTTCTGGAAAGGAAATGAAAAATCGTGTATTTTAAATCTTCACTAGAAACATGTTATGCCGTTAAATGATTTGTGTATCGTTAGAAGTGATGTGGGTGACGCTGAGCATTATTGACGCTAAACGCTGCCTTTAGCAACACACGTAAAGGGCTTTAAATAACCAATCACCGCCCTTTTCTCTCGGATGTGTGATGGCCTCTCGGTTCTTTCTAATGTTTTACACTCTGTGGAGATTGATGGAAGTCAGACGGCTAACGTCTTCAAAGTTCCAGTTCCAGCTGGTTGTCAAGTCACGGGCGTTTCAACGCCTCCGACAAGTTCGAGTGTTGTTTCCTTGAACAGTGGGGTCAAAAAGTCTACTTTAAAACAACGGACTTGTTTTTTCTCCCGTGTAAAACAAACTTTTTCTGTCACAAGCACTGAGCAGTGATCAAACATGATTTAATGTTAAAAATACACATTTGACTCCTTAGTACTGTACTATTTATCTATAATATAGAATGTATTTAAGTAACAATAGTCATTTATTCTGTCATTAAGTTCACATCTGTAGCCAACGTTCTTTTAAGGTGTCATGATTTAAAATGAAAACAGTTTTATACAATAAAGCTTGAAAAGAATATTATTTATTCATGCCTGTGGAAAAATCTTAGTTCATTTTAACCAATAGCATTCAGTGTTAAGTGCTTGTGTCGGATTTTTTCGTGGCCAACAAAATTCCTAAGTAACGTTCATTAATATTAGCCATTAAGATCAGTAGCAATTTAGCTACATTAGGCATTGTGTTTATGTTGTTAAATTGCATTTAGGTTTAACAATGTTATGCTTAATGTTAAAAGTAAGGTTGAACATAACATCTAGCATACAATTGTTCTAAATTACCAAAATGCTGTTTAAAATAGTTAAAAAAACAAACAAAACCATTTTATGCTAAATGTTCTTGCCAACATTTGTTTGTATCTGCCGTTAGTTGTCTTCTTTTAAGGTTTAAGCTAGTTGCTATTGTTTAGCTACTTCTTGCAAATCTTCACTTTTTCTTGTTTTATCTTTAGCTCTACTTTTGGACAGTTTTCCACAATTTGACATTTGGCTATAAAGTTTTGCTTGATAAACCATTCGTTTTCATGACCACAATAAACTAATAATTTTTAGAATAAATGGCTTATGTTTTGTAGAATTGTGATTAAAAAACAGTGGCTTTTAAAAACTTAAAAAGTACTGTAGTGTAACACACTGAGTAATTGTACATGATTGGAGTGTTTTACCAGCTTAATTACATATTAGCTCTTTGAAGTTGATCCTGATGAAACCTGTTTCTGATACTCAGTATATATGGCATCTCCACGCACGGCTTCCTGCTCTGAATAGCATAGGCGGTAGAGAGAAAAGTGCTGTAAAAGTTTGAGCTTTAATATACAGATGTCATGTAACACATTATGTTAGTAGAGAACAAATTGCACAGAGAACATTGACGTCTATCAAACCACCCAGCTGCTTTTATTCCAGAGGGCAGAAAATGGATAAAAGAGAAGTGAGGCACGGAACGCTGCGTCTCGCTGTCACTCTGCACTGCATTCACTCAGTGCTGCACTCAAATCAGCCGTGTACAGAAGTATATTTTCTGAAAATGTTTACTGCTGCTGCATTTTCAAGCATTTTTTAATGTCTTGGCAGAAGTATGAAAGATAGATGCTTGCTCTTACCTTTACATCACTTATGACCGATTTCTGGCCAGGAATAACCTGAAAAAAAAAAAAAACCGCAACGCTCAGTTTGGTGAATCATTCATCAATGTTTTATTGATCGAAACACATTTTGTAAAGGCTGCAGAGATGAGTGAGTTGCCAGAGGTTTAAATGGTGGAGGGGGGGGGATGACGTTTAATTCAACCACTACATTAGTTAACAAATTACAGACTGAGGCAACATTTTATCTCATCCCCTGGAATTGTAGCCAAATGCAAATATTGCTGGGTGTTAGTATCAAACATGCATTCATGCACGCTCAGGCTGTTTGATCTGGCTTGAATGTTTGCCTAATGCACACGATTTGTATCTGTTTGTGTTGTTTGTAGTGCACACATTTAATATTTGATACTGCATTTGCATATTTTAATAGCATTTAATATTTATTCATTTATTATTCGCAAATTTTCCTTTGAGGGACACTGTGGGGTGGCGGTTGGGAGGGGGGGAGGTTGTCACAGAGCCAACACACTGAGCTTGACAACTTTTTATACCGGAGTCAATTTAATCTCCACATAACCTGAACTGTGAGAATAGGCTGAAAGATTTGGAGAAACCCACACAGGAGGTGACTGTAGTGCAGATATAAACCATGCAGCCAAAAAAGACATGATGTCACAGATTCACACTCAAAGCTTCACATGACGTTTTTACTGATGCACTTAAAAAAGAATCTGTTTTTTTTCCCTAACAGCTACACTCAGACTTGGATAAAGGCGACGGCAAAGTGAAGTATGTGTTAACAGGCGAGGGCGCCACCTCCATCTTCACCATCGATGAAAACACCGGAGACATCCATGCTACAAAGAGGCTTGATAGAGAAGAACAAGCGTACTACACCCTGCAAGCTCAGGCTGTGGACAGGCTCACTAATATACCAGTGGAACCCAGGTCTGAGTTTGTGGTCAAGGTCCAGGACATTAATGACAACGAGCCAAAGTTTAACGATGGACCGTACTTGGCTGGAGTACCTGAGATGTCACCATTAGGTATGTATTCCTCTAATTGCATCACATAGTTTTTTTTTTTTGCCTGCTTGTAATGTCTCTCCTCCAGTTTCCTCTCGTACACTGACTCTATTTCTGACCCTCCCTTCGCTGCGTGTGATAATTTTCCACTCCAATGAGTTCGTCTTCATCTCCCTGACTCTTCAGGTCACCAGGGTGCTCGGCGAGTTTGCAATATTAATTTGAGTCAAGGGTGTTCCCTCTGTTAGGGTCATTACGTGATAATCATTTTTGGGTACATTTTAAATTACACAGCGTTTCTTTCTGTGGAGGAGAGCTGATGCCAGCTGAGGTTCTGCAGGGGTTAAACCACTTGGACCCAGTCCTAGTGATATTTTTGTTTCCACTGTTGGCCACATTTCTACTGCTGATTAGTGACGGCGTTAGATGTTTCTCTTATCAGAGTATTTTTAAAGCTGAAGGGTGTACAGCACAGCTGCCCTCGTAAATGTAGAAAAGAGTGATGCTGAGGTGAAACGTTCAGTGATCGAAAGCTCTTTAAAAAACACATTTTGAGTTAAAGTGAAGTCATGAATCAGGTTTTAAATCTTCTGGAATGTTTTGACGGCATGATGGCTTAATGCAGTATCTACTTCCCCTCTGTGAATTTACTCATAATCAATTGAGTGGCAGATCAGATGAGACTGTGTTGTGGGCAGAAAATTAGAAATGCATTTAGTGCCGTGGGCACAAATGTAAACAAGTCTTCCATTAGAGTTGTATACTTTACATAATTGAATGGGATATACAGAGCAGCACATGTAACCTATATATAACAACTCTGACACGATAAACTGTCAGAGGTCTGCAGGAGTGACAAGGTCACATTTTCCAGACTGTAAGGATTGTTGACGTGACAGTAGAAGAAACAATAGAGGAGGCAAATTATTCTAAGAGTAAAAGGAAAAGCAAATGCAGCAAGAAACAGAATTGGAACATTAACAGATTGGACCTCTGGTAGGCATGGGAACAATTCTGGGAATTGATACTAAAGGGAACTGTTTATTTAATATTTGGAATTTTCATACATCTGATTAAACTTTTGTAACTAAACACTTTCTAAATTATTGGAGTAAAGCAGAGTATTGGAGCTGTTGACCTAAAAACTTCAAAAATATTTCCAGGAGACCATTACTGTTTTATACCACACATTACATGCTCTGCTGTAATAGTTCTCTAATAAATTTTAATTAAAATGTATTTCAAGATTTCCCTTTTATGATTGAAAAATGCCTCAGTGTAGCCAAAGGGCTTGGAAAAAGGTTGTGCTATTTTAGATTCTGGGTTATCAGGAACAAAAACCAGGGCAAACCAAAAATTTGTATAATTTTAAAAGAAACCAAATGGTTAGGGCATTTGGTTTCCTTCGAAATTAGCTGGAAAATCTTTCAGAGGGGACCTTTTCCGCAAGTGTCTCCACATTTAAGTTGTCCTCCGAGGCTCAGCACATGTAATGCCAGAGCTTTTAAAAAAGGAATAAATGCAAATGACCGAACAACAACATCCTGAGGCCGTTCTTCTCAGCAGGTGTATTAGTAACGCAGCTGCTGTGAGAACCAGTGACCTCCATATTGGTAAGTCTGTTCGCTTCACACAGACTCCAGCGAGGCTATTACATCAGCATGACTTTGAAAACTCAGAGCTTTTAAAACTCGACATTTCGGTTGACAAAACATGGGTGGCACTGAGCATGAAACGCTTTCATTATGCTCTTTCGCAGTGGCATTAATCAGCCTGGCTTTTGCTATTGTGATGTCGGGTCTGATGCAGTTGCCGAATTTACATATTCATCAGCTCACATATGCCAGCGCCTTCCTCAAGGCTTAGAAATGTTGAGAAAGGATGCATGGTTAAAGAATGAGTCAAGAAAACTGAAAGGTCTGTTTCAGCCTCAAAGTGCAACAAATATGCTTCGTACTCGAAGAAAAAAGGAAGCGACCGGAGGGCATGGCAGCCCACACTCACCTTGGAACTGTCATCCACTGATGAGTACATGTCTGTCCATTCGTTATCCTGCTGTTACTGAGTGGTAAAGCGAGTACAGCAGTATGAGCATGTACTTAATATCTCTAGGAGGTGTGGACGAATCACAGTCTTCAGCTTTGACTGAAGAGATGACAACATTATAAATAACTTGAATAGACAGCAATAGACAGGTCCTTTCAGTAAATTTAGAAAAATACATTGAAGAGATGTTTTCTGATCGAAGGATTGTGTAAAACAGAATCACTGTATTTGTAAAGTGGTAGATATCCATCCCCTGAGGTGTTCAAATTTTGTAGGAACAGGACCAGGAACAGTTAAAACTCTAAATAAAAAAAGAATAGTTTAAGATTACGACCAGGAACCATTAAAACTCTAAATAAATAAAAAAAGAATAGTTTAAGATTAGCTTTGATTCAGCGTGGCATGTGAAAATCTACTCTCACTGCCCTTCTTCTTCCCACTGTACCTCCTGGGGGAAGGAGACTTCTCTCTCCCTGCTAAATGCTGCACCATGTTCTGTAGCCAGTTGTCAAAACCACTCAGTCAATGGAAAAGAGCCGCCTGCTGCAGTTGGACATGACAGTGAGAGAGTCGTGAGACTGAAGCAAAAATTGTTAAGCTTTTTTGGCCTGGGACCCAAGAGGACGACGCATCAGTAAAAGTGCTTATAGAGCTGAAGGGAGCTGCACAGTCAGTGGTGGGTTAATTACTTTGTGCGACCCCTTTCACGTACAGGGAGTGTGATCGATTGTTAATATTTAATTTTTTATGATAGCTGTTTTAAGGTCTCGGGGGCTTCACCAGAGAGGATGCAAACCCATTTCACTTCTATAAACACAGAGATCTCACCCCTCCGTGTCAGCACCACCTCCATAAAATCCCTGGTTCTGTAGTAAGGCTGTGTCATGTGTCGTGAATAATGATACCAGTATAGTGTTTATGGGACATGAAATATTGGCCGTGTAAAGATGTATTATTGCCACGTCAGCCTTCCAGAGCTCAACTTATAACCCAAGTCATCCTACCATGGAACTTGATTAAAATTTAAAAATGCTAAAAGTTTAACCCTAAACTTGTCAGTTTTACAGAAGACTTGGTTGCATACCTGCTTTTAAGAACTGGCTACCTTGCTAACAGCAAACAGCGCTAAAGACTTTTTTGTTTTGCAAATGTGTTTTTCAGCTACTGCCCCCTAATGGCGTCATTTGGTCAACCTACTCCTGTTTGCACTTTAACTTTGCCATGCATGTTGTTGTTGTTGTTGTTGTTCCACATTTTCCTGTTTTTTTAGCGTGAGCCCATGTTGATCCCTTTTTCCTGGATTTTTAGCGTGAGCCCATGTTGATCCCTATACAGATGGAAATTAGCGAAAACAAAGGTGTTCACGGCTCTTTAGTCGCTTCAAAGTCAAAGGTAAAACATTCCGAACGAGCATGCGGTGGGACTGGGAGTCGTTCCAGTGGAGGCAATGCTTTGCTTACAACAGATCTCTGAAGGATTACACAGCTGACTGTCAGCGGGGGGTGCAGGGCTCAGGCTTAAAGAACTAGAGGATTAAAGGACAAGGGCTTTGGAGTCTCGTGTCCAAACCGAGATAAGAAAGCGACAGAGGTGCACGTGTTCACACCTCCTTTGCCACCCTCATTTTTTTTTTATTTGCCCTGCCTAATCTCTAAAGGTCTTTAAAAAAACATTTTTCTGACAAAAACAAAGAAACAATGCATTTGATCTGGTTTAAAATGTCAACTTTTAGGCAATTATCGGTTCTGTAAAGACCAGGGAAGGTCCAAGCACCTCTTGTTCCCAAGAATTCCTTTATGGATTTCTATAAATCATTAATGGTCACAGCCTGGCACTGTTGATGAATGGGCTCAATTTAGAGGAAATCATGAATTTAATTAATTAAAGTAATTAGAGGCAGAGCTCGTCCATACACGTACGGACCTTATGGCCCGAGGAGATCCAAAGGCTTTTGTCTTAATCACGGCAGGGATGTCAAATAAAAGACAAGAGATGGAGAGAGTTTGAGGACAGCAGGAGCTGCGACAGTGTGAGCCTCGGTTCAGTCCCTCCAGCTGCACGGCGAAGGGCCAAAAGGAGCAGACCGAGGGCTCATTACAAGCATGGAGAATGTAATGTCAAGCCAAGGCTGCGACTCTTTAATTTACTGCTCACCTGTACTACAGCCAGCTGTCATTGTTCCTGTCTAATTCACGGCAGCGGAGATCAAGGATGGCAGAGCTGTTTTAAAAAGAAGTGTTTGGATTGAGGACAGATGATCCTGCTCAGTGTCGTTTAGCTTTTACAGACACTGTGTGCCATTCATTCACAGTTATGTTACTCTGCAGTATTTTTCTTTCTGATCTTTTCAATACCTTGAATGACAGATTTCTTTGATTTTTTTTTTCATAATTTATAATATTGACAATTTTGTATTTGCTGTGAACACCACAAGTAGCATTCAGGAACTAGCCTTCTGCGGCCCATTCTTCCATCTATTAACTACACTTTTTTCCCCCAATTTGTTCTCATTACTTTGTGTGTATGTGCATGTATGTCCCATGTATGGTGACCCATATTCACATGCTAGCTGGTTTAAAAGTTGCTTTCCTTTTTATCACAGTGGTAATGTGTTTGCTATTAAAACACATTTCTCTGTTTAAACATTGGCATCACATCCAGAAAGTTTTACGGTGTTGTAAGTAATTACGACTTTGAGGTTGAAAAATGAATGTCGAGTGAACTTCGAATCAGAAACGGTGGGGAGCAGGTGTGAATGTGCATGAATATCATCAACTTAATCAGCGCTCTGGCTTTTGAATGCTTATGAAGGAATCTCAGTTAATGCGCCTAAAATGAATGAATTATTACTTTTTAAACATACATAAACCTGCAGTCAGTGATGTGTCCTCAGGTCTGCTGACCTGAAGTCACACGAGAGATTATTTCTGTCTCTATATGCAGACGATGGTCCTTTGTTTGCTGCTAATATGTTACAAATCACAAATGAGTTCATTGTGCCTGACAGTCAGATGTAGCCATGATGTGCAAGTGGCTGCAAAATAGCTGTCTCCCATTCAGATTATACACGCCACATTTATTTTCATTACTGGCAGATGACAGTTGTTCACCCAAGGAACAGGGCTGATGAGGGAAACCTGTTTTGTACACAGCTGCAGGGGAAATACATGGAAAATAAAGGGAAAAATGAGGATCTGATCCATCACGTCAATGAGGACGGACAAATATTGAAAGGACACTGACGTGGAGAATGGAGGAGCAGATGACAGCCTGGTGGAGCAGAAAGAATCTATTCAAATTTGAGATTGTTCATCAGGTTTTTCTGACACCCTGCTCATCCTTTCATTTTGATACTATTGTTGGGACAGAGTGTTCGCTGGATTCATAAGGCAAAAAAAAACAAAACAAAAACAACAAAAAATCAGAAAAAAAACACCGTATTTATGTAATGAAGATGAGTGCTACAACAGAATAGGTCAAAATAAATGTTTATATTCAAAAGAATATGTGATTTAATAAGTCAGAAAAAAAACACCGTATTTATGTAGTGAAGGTAAGAGTGCTACAACAGAATAGTTCAAAATAAATGTCCATATTCAAAAGAATATGTGATTTAATAACGGTGATTTAGCATAAATAGTATAAATAGTGAAAATGGATGAATTTGTCATAGTTATGGGTTATTTATATAGGATAAAATGTAATGTCAAAGACACAAATGAAGTATGAAGTAATTATTATTAATTGTCAAACTACAGGCTGACAAGAACGTTGTGACTAGATCACATTATAAAATAAAAGTAAAAACGTCCACTATTGAAAATAAACATACATTGAAGCTACAATTAAACAGGAATTATGAGTTAAATAGATGTAATTATGTTACCATTGAGTTTTTATTGTGTTCATTACTTTTATGTTTTCTCGTTTTTCACATACAGTCGTCACGACATACACTGAGGATTGTCGTCTCCACTGCACTCATAAAAATCAAAACATCTAAAAAAAAAAAAAAAACACCCTTTTCTAAGGCTCATCTCCTTTGAGTCCACACCAAAGGCTAATTTACAAAAACACCCCTTTCTAAGGCTCATCTTCTTTGAGTCCACACCAAAGGCTAATTTACAGCTTCATGTCTCGATCGGAAGTGATTTTTAAACCGTAAACCTGTAACAAAGGTTCAGTCACTTCTTGAGTTCTGTCCCCAACACTCATCCTTTGACCTTGGGGCTGTAAACTGCTGATAATATAAAGTGTCATGACTAAGAGCTGATGATATAATCTGGATGTCCTTCTACAACTGGCCCGGTGATAACTTCTCCAGCTCTGTCATGGCTTATTTTTTATTTATTTATTCCTCTTTTATATTGTTCACGTCCAGGGCCAGAGCCTCTTAATTCTACTTTATGGCCCAAAATGGAGGAGTCTAATCTTCTATTTCTTTGATCACTTCATTCGGTAAAAGCCTGTAAAATGCCTCTCATGTTGAAATGTGAGGTTTTTTATCACCATGTTTTCCTCAAAGTGAAAATATTGTTCTGTGGTTTAATCAGATCCAGTGTTTGTGGTTTTACAACCTTGTGTAAAGTGAATTCCTTTTACACATGATCTGAACTTTGGCTGGTGCTCCATGATGTTGTTTGGTGTTTTTTTCCGAAGACTGTTGTTGACAAAGTTATGTTCCTTGATATGAGGCTCTTTTTAAGGAACACAATTTGATTCTCCAGTTTTTCATATAATTTTTAATCGTGGAAAGTTCTGCAGATATTCAGAAACAATAACTTATTGAAAGAAACCTGAAGTTGATCCTAGGCGCCCCCTAGAGGAACTGTTCTTTCAAAGGCATTCCCATCTCTTCTTAAAACAGTGTACATCATGTTTCTTCAGGTTTGATTGATAAAAGTTACATACTGAACTAACTAATTTGTGACAATAGCGCTACCCAGTGGCAAGAATGTAAATCCCTTGCTTGATAAAAGTTGCATAATGAACTAACTAACTTGTGACAATAGCGCTACCCAGTGGCAACAGTATGTTTTCATGCTAAATCAGGTACTTTTGTGTGTTGGAAAAAAGGCACAAAAAAGTGATTTTAGATTTTTTTTTTTTAGATTTCTTGTCACAGTGCCACCAAGTGGGGAAAAGAAATCCAAAATGTATCAAAACGTCATCTTTCCAGAATCATATCAGTGCAAAGATAATCTTAAACTCAACAGCACCAGGAGTAATGTTTTTTTTAAATGTTGCTGCAGGTTGTCTGAATGTTGTTATTCAGACAATTTATCACCTGGGATTTCCAATTTAAAATGCCATTAAATATTAATTATTAGACATACAGAAGTCTAAGAGTGTGAAATGAGGCCACACGACTACTTTTCCCTTTAATTTTCTATTGAAATTGATTGGCATTCATTGCCGTTGATTATTTAAAACAATGCGCTGCCTGTGTGTTACCTTCACAGCCACAGTTGTCAGATCCAGTCATATCTTGGGTGCGTTTGAAAAGAGAAATACATCAGGAGTCAGGTCTGATGTCTGTTGTCTTTGTTCCTGTCCCGGAGGACGAGGAGGTGGAGATGAGAGGACAGACCTCGACTGCACACTGAAACAACACTGTAGACGTTCGTCACGGGAGTTTTCACTTCACTTTAAAAACAAATTTTCTCCTCATGGCTGTGGGGGCATTTTGAGGTTTTCTGCAGGGCATGGCTGACCAGTTTTTCATAGCTGTGAAATTTTCCCTTTGTCTGCAGCAGTAAAAGTATCGGTCAGCCGTGTCCAAACTTTGTTAGAAGGAACACATTTGTTGACATTAATATAACTGTAGGTCAACTGTTCCACCTTTGATATTTAAGATAAGGTCAAACACGTGCAATGTACATAATTAAATTTCTTCAGTGCTATGTTTGATTTTTTTTCCCCGTGAACTGTTTTTTGTCACATGTTTTAGGTCTGATTAAAAAACTTTCACAAAATTTTAGTTTTAACCACAAATTCAACAATCAAAAAAATAAAAACTAAAGAGCAAGAAAGTACATTAATGTCACCAAAAATATTTTTTTTTTTTCTAAATTTTCTAGTAAGTTAACCCACTGGCCATATAATATAAAGTAATCACATAAATTCCCCAAAATTACAAAAGAGATGTCACAAAGTAATCAAGCACTGACTTCTTGAAACTAAAAAGTCTTAAGAGATATTTTGAGGATTGGTGACTTTAATGTTCTTTTTAAAATCAGCATCACTGAAAGAGAGCTAAGCTACTACTGGTGTCCCCCAGGGCATCGTTCTTGGACCTAAAAACATTAATCATTTATAATATAATTCTTTTTTTCCTTATCTCACACAATTTCTTGCCTCACATGAAAGTACAGTAAATCATATTAAATGTGAAATTTAAATACCAATTTAAATTCCCTGTCATATTTTAAAACCTGTTTATAGATGAAGAGAAGGGATTATATATTTTCATATTGTATTTTGACACTTTTTTTTTCCAATTTCATGCTCATTTCATCCCTGTTTGTGTCTTTTATTATGCATTGTTTTTTTTTGTATCCAATTCATTTTGATTTCACTCTTTGAAAAGCAGTGAAATTTTATTCATCCAACTGGAACGCTTCATTAAAGCAGCTGATCTGCCTTTTTACCAGGATTTATCAGAGCATTGCAAACAAATGGTGTCGTTATAAGATCGTGACTCCTGCCTGTAGATCAGAGGTATCATTTTAATCTGTGTGCTTTAATGCTATAATGCAAACTTTATTTACTCCATAGGCCAGACTCTACCATCTACCATTTAAATATAAAAATAGTCAGGATAATTTAATAAAGAGGTCTCCTTGTATTTTGGTTTTTGAATCACTGAAATAATTAAGGCACAGTCTTATGGAGCTGAGGGTGTTTGGGATACAGAGGTAAGAGTGTCCTCCTCAGACTTTGCCGCAGGGCAAATTCAACGGCCTTTGACTCTTGAAGCACAATTCACTGAAGCACTGGGATGAGTAATTATGTAAGAGTCATAATAATTTAATGCTGACTTTTTAACATGCACACAGCGGTTCTGTGACACGTAATAACACGGCAGTTATAAGCAGATTAAATTTAGTGGAAAATAATTCATGAGATAAATGGGAATAAATGGGTCTTTTTTTTTGCAGTTGCTCTTAAATGTTGGAGCAAAACCAGAGCGAATCAGAGGCAACTACAACTGAACCCAATCTCTTCTTTAAATTAGTCATGTCAGACTGTATTTAAACATTTAGCAATTGTTTTCCATCTTTTTAGTAAAATTTCTAAGGGGAACATTTAGCAATTTTTTTGCCATCTTTTTAGTAAAATTTCTAAGGGGGAGATTTCACCTGTTTCACTTTTGTTTTTCTTTTGAATCATATTTATCATTTCATATTCTAAAATGAGAATCCATGAATCTGTTTCACTGAGCTTCAAAACACAAAACCCAGAATTTACACTAAATTACAGCTTCTCACTTCTGAGATTATTTTCTCACCCTGAAGGGGAAGAACTTTTCTTTACCGCTCTAACCCCCTTTTTCTTTTTCCACTTTCAAGTCAAATTTGTCACACGTTCGTTTGACATGATGATTATTTTCCACATTTAGCCGAGTTAGACGTGGCTCCAGGATGTTGTCTTGGAAACTAATGACTGGCTGTCTGCCCACAGGAACCATGGTAGTGCAAGTGGCAGCCACGGATGCTGATGACCCCACGTATGGGAACAGTGCCAGGGTGGTTTACAGCATCATCCACGGACAGCCCTACTTCTCTGTGGAGCCCAAAACAGGTGGGTACCACACTCTACACACATCCAGTCAACAAACTCCTGTACAAATGCACTGCATTACAGCACTAAAAAAACACACTATCTCTAAGTGATTTGTGCAAAAGCTGATGGGAATCTACATGAGTACACCGTTCTCTTCCTGAATAGGAGTAATCCTGGTTGTTTCAGTGATTTCAGTGTTTTGTTTTGGTGTTGTTGTTTTCCTTGGTGCTCGTCCCAGTGATTTGGTGTGAGCAGTGCTGACTGAGTGGGAACAGCTGAAGCCTCGTAAAAAAATACTTGAATCAGTGTGATGACAGTTGTTGAATTGTTTGTTTGTGCTGAAAAACAGAATTTCAATTTTAAATTAAGCAGATGTCTTCTGGGTGTAGTAATTCAAGAATTCCTGTAGGTATAAAATCAGCGCAAATGATTGGTGAGAAACAAGGATGAACTGATGAGATTTACTGTGCCAGAGTTTGATGTTTAAGGCTCCTGGGTTCCTACAAAACATTTTAGATTTTTTTTTTGTGGCCATGTCAAAGTTAATCACCAAATCTCTGCAACTTTTCCAAAAACACACATGTATATTAAGAATTATTTTTGTTTCACTTGTCAAACTGAAATCCTCGAGCAAATCTGATCTGATGAGCTTTAAATTTTAAACATTAAATTTGTCGTCGAAGCCCTGCTGAGAATAAAAAAACAAAAAAACGTTTAAATCTTCAGACAGCATGCGGATGTGACAAGCTGACAAAAAAATAAATAAACAACTCACCATAGCAATTACTTTTTTTTTCATGTCGTGATCAACTTGAAAGCCAGTCAATAAAATAAAAATAAACCTGCTGTCTTTATGACATTATTACCCTGCAGCAGCAGCAGCAGCAGGGCCAGTTCTCATTCAAACACCTTGCACTTTGACTGCAAAGTTTCGTTCAATCTGCTCCGGACGTAAAATCCTTAAGCATATCTGAAAAGTTCTCACTGTCATTTTTATTCTGGGTATCATTCCACCCATCAGTGTGTTGGACCTGTAAGAACCCTGAAATCTAAACCACTCTGTTGCCTTTATTGCATTAAATCTGGGCGGGTTGTGCAACTACTAAGTAAAGTAGCCTCAAGCCTCTGGCCTTAAGCTGTGAGTTCTCCTGCCCCCAATCCCCACTGCCCCGAGGCTCTTAGTCATATTTTGTTAGGGAACTTATAGGCTGGTGATGGTGGAGTGTCGGCCCACTGCTGCCTGACTCCCAGTGAGGAAACGGCTCTGAGAAATAGTTGATTTGTCTCAATCTAACATATACCAACCCTGTGTCCCAAAAAGTTTGCAAAAAACAAAACAAAAAAAAAAAAAAAACTTGATGAATAAGTTTCTTCAAAACATTTGAAACAAAATGATATAATTAGACTAATGAGTAGTTCAAATATTTTTAACAACAAAAATAGGTTAAAAAAATGTTCCAAACCGCCTAAATGTAATTAATATAAATGAGTGTGACCCCAGTGGAGAATTGACATTTGGTTAAATCGTTTTCACAGATTGATAGCAGCGTGAGTATTATAATATATATAAATATATTTTTGTTTTATTAAAAATAAATAGAAGATAAAATGTAACCATCTGTTCCTTACTTTAATACTTGTTAACCTTGTGGCAGAAAAAAAATCAATTCCACCAAAAAGGAATAAATAACACAAAAAAAAAAAAAAACCAAAATGAGCTAAGAAAAGTCAAAATTGTCTTGGAGATGAGGGATTGGAGTTCGTCTGTTGACTCCTGGGATGAGTCTAAGTAAGTGCAGCCGCTTCAATCCTCACTATATCCTCGTAGCCGCCTCATTAGCCACTGCCCTGCCGAGGCCGAGCTACTTCATGCAAAGTACTCTCAACAGAAAACAGGATGAAAAAAAAAATAAAAATGAATATGGACCATCCCAGAATATTAGACTTCATCCTATGCTTGGAGAGTAATGGCTACACACACGCTGGGATTCTCTGTGAGTGTAGCTCTGGTTCATGAAGGAGAGAGAAGCCACTGCAATGCAGGGATTTACGGCACTGTTTTCACGCTCAGACAGAAGAGAGAAATGAGAGGATCTGGAGAAGAATGTTGACCTGCCAGGTTGACTGCAAACATTTAGAAAACCTTAACGAAGGGCCCTGGAAAATGGAACAGTTTCGTGTTGTTTGGATGTGGCATGTGGCTGAGCAGAAATGGATGTTAGAACCTGAGAATATTTTCTGTGTGTGGATCCTGCAGAGATTCACACACAGTTTCTCTACTTGTTTTTCCTCTTTCTGGAGACCATTTTTGCTAATGAAGCCTCCCGCTGCTGCATTCATTAGGAAACATTTCCGTGTTTTCCATGTTTGGGAGCTAACATTAACGTTAACGTAGTGCATGTGCTGTAAATGACAGGTCCACTGGGATCTTCTCCCGGGCTCTGCTTCTTTGATTTTAATCTGAATGATTCCTTAAGGATCTTACTAATGGTTCAAACTTCTGCTGGGCTAATTAATGTGCTCCAAAACCCACGTTCACCTTCCCTGCAGTTGATTTTGGTTAGGCTTGTGTACTTGTACCTCTGTGTATTTTCCTACTTATGTCTGTGTGATTGAGTTAACAGCGGATTCAGCTCTAGCCATTTATTCACATCCTGTCTTGTTTTGATTTGCCATCATACTGCCATATTTGAGTAAGTAAATGTTTAAAAATTAGTAATAATCAGTATACTGTATGTACAAACAAATGGAAACTAACCTAAGCAGACCGTCCATCAGTATACTGTATGTACAAACAAATGTAGGCGCGTTTCATTCTTGGTAAATCACGACCAAAGCTTCATCTCAAATTTGATGAAGCTCCAGCTCAAAAAGTGTCCAATATGTGGTTAAAAATTAAATGCTGAAATAGAAAAAAAAATAGTTTTGAAGTAAAAAAACAAACAAACAAAAAAAATTAGTTTTGAAGTAAAAAAAACAAACAAAAAAAGAAAACAGTTAAAAGCTCAAATATTCTAAGTGATAGTGTTAGGTTTTAGACAAGCACAAAACAAGAAATTTGTTTAAAGTAGCAAAACAGACCAAAAAAAAAAAAAACAAAACTTTTCAACCAATTTGCTTGTCTACGTTAGTTAAATTAAAGTATAAAAAAATGTTAAAACACATACACACATATATATTTATATATGTATGTGTTTATACATATATACATACATGTGTATATATATATATATATATATCCATATATACATACATATTTACATATATGTATATATTTGTCTACATATATACATATATTATATCATAGACAATTATATCTGGTCTTTAACAGTCTTTAACAAAAAAAGTATCAAGGCAGTTAAAGTTGGTAGTTTGACTCCTCCTGCCCAATTTTCCTCGAGCAAGTCCATGGATCCTAATTGATCCCAGCGTGTATATAAAGAGGAAAAACTTAGTTTTCCAAAAACAAATTCATTAATTTAAAAAATCTGACAAATGTTTTTTTTTTTTTTCTCAAATAGCTTATTTTAGCTTTAATTAAAACCTGTGAGCACACATTCAAATCCCTGTGGAAATTTCTGTCTCTTACTTTCTGTGGCTGGTCTGTTATGGTGTCACACACACACACACACACACATAATATTGTGGCATTGGCCTTTGTTCTGACCCGGTTTAAACCATTTGCACCTGGTTCTTCCTCTGTGTGAGTAAAACACTACAAGATCTAAAGGCTCGAAAATCCCTGCAGACTTTTATAACAACACTGTGACTGTCTCTGTCTTTGGTTTATATAAGTAATTTTTCTCACAGATTGTTTTATATAGCTGTGCGAGACACCGCTGTAATTGAGAGAAATATTACTCAAGTGCTCACTCTGTTAACGTGGTCTTCATCTTCATTTATTCAGCCTTCAGAGGGAACTACCTGAGGGAAATAAAAATTTATGTTTCTGAAAACGCCCGGCTGGTTTCCTGTAAAAATCAAGATCTTGTCACAGCATTAACTTTTAACACTGTAGCTGCACCTTTTATAAACCGCCCACCGACTTCTTTCATTTGGAAAATTCCATTTGATGTCATGTCTTTGACAGTTTAGGTAAATCCCTTTTTTTTGTTGACTAGGATTGTGACTGTGAAAACCAGACAAAAACAGCTTTAAAATGAATGATAAAAGTTTTTGAGGCTGGAGACCTGCATGTTCAATGTCAATTGTAGTTTTAAGTTTCCAATTTTTAACTCTGTCCAGGTTTATATCCATTACTAAGTCTGTCCTACTCCAAGTCCAAGTCATTAGAGGAAAGTTTCAGCTGAGTCTAAGTTGAGTCTCTGTTCTTTCTACGCCAAGACCATTTCATTAAGGTTGAGTTTAAAGGTTTTATCACTCCAGATTTTGAGCTTGTCTCTTTGTCTAGGTTGTCTTTCAATGACTGGGGACCCAAGTACTACAAGGCTTTGCAGTACTTGGGTCCAGTTGGGTCATTCCTTCCTGGGGTTTAGAGCCCAGAGTCTTGTGTTTCAGATGTTGGCCACCAGGCCAAACGGTATGTGAAGAAATTTCAGAATGTGACATTAAGACTTAATGAGTTTATGACTATTTATTTTTTATCATATTGCATTTAATAACCTAAGAATGACTACAGTCTGTGTGGAGGCCATTGAAATCCATTCTTCTTCTCATGGGGTATTTAATGCTGTTCAACAAAACTTTCCAGTATCACTCGAACTTCAACTCCGACAGCCATGCCAATCAGAGTCCAGAGCCGACGTCCACTTAAAGTGATGTTTAAACAGCGTTGCTGCCACATGGACCCCATCAGTCTCCCGTCATGCTTTTCTTATAAAAAGCCAGCCCGCTCAATGACCATAAAGTGCACATTTTCATCACCCCCAGTCTGAGGCCAGTGACGTGTTTTTCATTAGGCTAAGTGGCTTCTTTGAATCTCAAGGTTTATATTTCAAAAGGCTTTAATAGGTTATAATTGCTGATTGTAAAGTAGCTTCTGTTCACTTGCAGTCAGA